CACATTGGGCTGCCTATAGATCCCATATTTGTTCAGCTTATTCTGGTGATGTTGTTCAATCAAGTTCGATATCCCTGTAAGAAACTAGGAAGAATGCCACAACGTTTACAACAGTTTAGAAAGGTAAAGTGACAAGATTGGCTTACGATTATTTTCTTTGATCTTCTGTAATCAGTCCATTGTCTGGTAATTTTACTACTGTTGATAGATCGTACATATGAAGACCAAGATGGTGTGGCCCTTATTTATTCTCAGTATCCTTTAGCTTTATACTGATGGTTTGACTTTGTTTTAGCAACTTGGTCGGATACTTTTTAAGCTGTTATACGCACCAAATATAATTATTTAAATCCAATCCTCGACTCCAATTTTCACTGACCAGTTGTTTCGTCTATGTTCTCTTGCTTTATATATGATGTTGTCTTCAATGTCAGCGAAATAGTTGAGTATCGACCTAGTAAATTATTCTATGTGGAAAGAACACGAGCGAAATGACAATAGTTCTTTTTTTCACTTAGCCTATTATTTGAAATTTTTGCTATGTGATTTTCTGTGCTGTATGGGGTTTAGCTTTACATAGTGGTTCGTGAAGATGCAAAATTTAAACTTTGCATAGCGTTTAAACCCTTTTATATACTCAAAAGTTTCGACTGGAATTTTCTATCACAGATTTGAACTTACCTTAAGCAAGCTACATCAGTCCATCAACATACTACAGGTTTACTACTCTTCATCAGGCCCATTAATGTGTTTAAGATGATTAAAGAAAATTTTTTGCATATTTAAATATCGGAGTTATTTGCTTCTTAAGATGTATTTTATCGGGATATATATTTCTCACTTCCTGCTACCGTTATTATAGCATTTAATTTAGTGTATGTTAATTAAGGAGTTGGAAATCGAGGTACATATTCCTCATTGTTTCATTCCCTATATACATTACTTTTCTTACTCCCTTCATACTTATCTCAATTTTATTCACGCACAAACATACGCTTACGTTCCCGCATGGTTATATGGTTGAAGGCCACAGCGGAGGTTTAACAGCCTTATCTAAAATGCCTGCCTGCAATATTCAGGTTCTTGGTTCCCAGAAGCGCACTATGGCAGGATTCAGCAATGCATCTACTTTACCGCACACCGGCTATATATTCAACTCGCCTTCAGTCCAAAAATTGCCACCCGACCTCCGTATTAAGGCCTCAAGGTTGATCTCCTACAAAGTAACATTGGCAGCTCGAGTTGACTCCTTTCACGAATCTCAGGTACTTATTGTTCATAGGCATAAGCTTTCATGTAGTATCCATTGAACTTATATGTACTTATTACCGTCTTCTTGTAGGATGGACAAATTGGAGAGCGCCTACTTTTAGAAGTCGAGAAGAAAATCGACAAATGGCTTGAACCGCCTCCAATAAAGCAGATTAAGGCTTTGCCTGCACCGATTGACCCACCCGCTAAGTGATTGATTTTTTTATGGATTTTATTGGATGATTTTATTAATCATAATTTATATTCTTTCTATATATTTATTTATCTTTCTCGAAACTGAGCCAAACTGGATTTGGTGCAGGTTCTAGAGAGCCGTGGAGTGGCGCCACACCAAAAGCCGCATGCAACGGCAGCCGTAACATTCAAGGCAAACTAGGCCTCGCTAAATCGCATTTGGACTGGGATTTTCGATTAAGCAAACATGTATTTGCCATTTCAATCGGCGAATTTCATCTATTCTGTAATTACTTATAGTCTCGAAATCTGCTTACATCTAAAATAAGTGAATGGGATTGGCAGGTGCATATTTGCTTCATCAGCATTCCCATTATAAACGTGGTCTGGCTTTTCTTGAATGTCTTTTTTCCCTGTGACCCATTGACACATGTAGCTAAGTAGTGGTGAGGTAACGCCGACATGTTGCTAAGGCTCTAATATCAAAGATAATGAAAGCTAGGCGAGGTCGAAAATGCACTCCATACTAGATTATAGAACTTTTCAGGCAAGACTGAGCGAAATCAATGGTATAGTGAGGCCGAATAATATAATTGTGGAAAAATTCCAATATCATTCCTTAAATCACCTTGAACGGCCAAGTGACTAAGTTCTTATTCTCTCAGATTAAAATGGTGTCTGCCAATAATTTTGCTCTCCTGCAGCATGTTAATAAAAAAAATCTTGCCAAAATATTATAAATATTCATTGTAGTGGAATTACTTTTCGTATCTATAAATATCTACTCGTTTGCGGATACTAGTCGTATTTGAATAGCACGAGAAATTCCAAAATGACTTTGCCATCTCCAGTGCGTTTTTAGTACCGAATGAAAAAGTAGTAGTGTCCGATCTTCAGTCGGACACATCTGCAAAATCAAGACTTATTTTTACCTAAGGATGGGAGTACAGATATCAGGCCTTGCACTGTCAGCATAACTCTTAATGTCGCTTTGATTGTTCCAAACTATTTCATCTTTGTATTTGAATGAAAATGAACGGTTTGGCAAAACTGGAATTTTTAATAACTATGATTGATTTTGACCCGATTGCTATGGTTCAAATGACCTATATCTTCTCGTTATCATTACAAGAGTTGGAAAGGGTTTAAAGACAATTTGCTTCCAAACTGGTTGAACATGAGAAGAGATTTTGCAAAGAAGACAGAAATTTATGGGTATATTAATTGATGTGTTATACAATTCAAAAATGTACATATTATCTATCAGATTTCCGCTAAGCTTACGGATTATTTCATATCTAATGATAGTCTCGAATCTAACTATGGATATAAGTTTGATTCGTTTTCTATTGTTATCGTCTTGGATATTATAGTAGGCCTGATTGCAATGACAAATGTATGCTTTATCAATTGATAGTCCAATTAAATGTGCTTATGGTGAGGTATGTCCTTTTTTGAATGTCAAGTCTGCCCTGTAATCTAGAGGCACCAGTGATGATGGAGCTGAGTTGCAATATCGCCACGATTCTCACGACTCTGTATCGAATTTCGTTGGGGATGTTAATGAGACCTCGGCGAGATCGGAACTACAATCCATCCGGATTATGTAACCTTTTGGGAAAGCAAAATCAAGTGAAGTTCAACGGCGTCGTGTGGCCTACTCATTTAACTGGGATTAAACTCAACTATCTATCCTTAAATCATCTTGAGCTACCCAGTGACAAGGTCCTTATAAAAGAATTACAGATAATCTCGAAGCCTACTTGCACCAAAAATATTTTTTACTTGCCATTTTCATGGGTTATCGTCTATATTAGTTGTTTATATCTTTCTCTTTTACACATACTGTTTGACTTATCTAAGTGTTGGATCTAAATTTTCGTTCTCGGAAGCTGTGATTGAAAGATTTCTTTCCTTCCTTAACCGAAATTTTCTGAAGTACTTTTAAATGCCATTTCTACTTAGTTATTTATATGTTTCTATTGGATTTTGAATCCTTAATTTATTTCTTTTGTTAACTCAAAGAAAGCGTGGCGGTCGTCGCTATAGAAAGATGAAAGAACGCCTCGGCATGACTGAGTTGCGTAGGTCAGCCAACCGAATTCAATTTGGTGAAGCCTCAGAGGACACCTACCAGACAAGCATTGGCTTCACTCTTGGTTCACTTGGCCAGAAAGGTGTGGCTGGTAGGCTTCGTGTGCCCCAAGCTGATTCGAAAACCCGGGCGCGAGTCAGCAAGGCTGTTCAACAGAAACTTCAAAAATATGGTGGCCTTTCGACCATGCCAACAACTGCATTAGCGGCCTCCTCTTGGGGTGGTGGCAATTCGACTGTGCGTCGGTCTACTTCCTCTAGTACTTCTGGAACTTCTTCATCTATTGCCTTCACACCGTTACAGGTTTGCTTATTTATTATATCTAAAACTTACCTTCTCGCATCATATACATATAGTGGATCGATGGTGACTCATACTTTGTCACCAATTTAGAAAGAAAAAGGAAGATTTTATCTTTTTTGTTATTACTTAAATTAACACAGAAATAATTTGTCAAAGTTCACAATTTTAGTATTCTTCATTAAAATTGAGTTACTCGGCTCCATAATATTTCCTACAGAAAGAATTCAAGTGCCTATCAGCTTATTTGGCATTTTTGTGCCAGTTATTACTCTAATCTAATATTTATCAGATAAATATGCTATGATTAGATTATAGATTTTAAAAATAATTTCTTTAAATAGTTGACGAAGTTTTCTAATCTCAAGCCAGCTAGGCAATTATATGCCATTTCCAAATGTTTCCTCAAAATATTCTAAAGGCCTATTTTGAAGTCATCTTTGTTTACTTTAATAGCACCAATTGAGAACTCTTTCATTACCACATCAAGACTCTAACGATGCGCTAGGGACCAATAACTCTCAATTTTTTATGAAGCCATTCACCAGATATTTTATTTTTTGTACAAAGTGCTAATCATACTCCGAGATTAATCATTTAGGATAGTTCATTCTTTTATCAATCATGTTTAATATACAAACTCTGTGCATCCACTGTATCTATGACAGATCATATACGTTTTCTATTATATATTCATTAACTAGTCTCATTATATATTTCTTAATGATCAATTGAATTAGCTTCTAATTACCACTAAACTACTACCTTAATGAAATTAATAACAATATATTTTTTTAATTTAGGGTCTCGAAATTGTCAATCCTCAAGCGGCCGAGCGCATCATTGACACTGGAAATAAATATTTTAGCGCAACATCCGGCTTTGTTCGCGTCAAACCTAAAAATGCAACGCCAACTCCACTGCCCTCTAAAACAGAGCCTGCTAACTCCCTTCAACCGGACCCATGATTGTTTCATTCCCTATAATGTATAGAACCAATACACGGCCTTTTTGTAAACATTTCGCCCACAACTTTCTTCAAAAATCTCCTTTTCCTTTCTTCTCTCTAATGTTCTGGTTTTTTGACACAGTTTAAAATAAAAGCATGAGCTAAATTCACGAAAAGAGTGTGTACATCTTGCTCCAGAAATAAATTTAGTTAGATTGCTATGCAGATCTATAGAGGGATATCTATCAGAATTTACTTATTGTTGATAGATTTCAGTTGAGTCAAATAAGACATCTTTCTGTGTAAAGGCACGGAAAAATACGTTGTTATAGCACTAAAGTGCAAGTAAAGGAATAATAACTGAGCAGGTAACTGAAATTGGATGTTGCTGCGGCCATAATAATGCTGCAAAAAAGGATGAGTCCTTGCAAATCGCTTATTTGAGGTCGTTGAGTCTTAGGCCAAGGAAATTATGCGTAGTTTACAAGTATCATAATAAATTCTTGGCGTAGTCAACAAATTTAAGATGAAAAATATCTCGAGCGTTAAAAGCATACATCCATGGTCTAATTTGGCGAATACAACTGCTTCGACAATCCCACCACGGGAATGTGATATGTGAATGCCTAGGCTTCCTTGAAATTTACTTTACCCTATAATCTAGGTGAGGCCGAAGCTGCAGTCTACTCTGGATTATATACGAGTTTTACTCACCCTAATTCGTTTATGGGGATGCAGGACTGGTAGTTAATTTTTCCCACAATGATATGAGTAGAGCTGAAGTTTCCATTTAATTACACAGCCTAGCTTTCCAGGGTGGACTGCAGTTTCGACCTCGCCTAGGTCTTATCAATGCACCAAGCAGGAGTAGAACCACGACAGTGCAGCGTCGTTAACCACTACTCCACATTGTCACGATTGCCCTTGGGTCACAGGGCAGCTGTGAAGTTCAAGGAATGTCAGGCCTTTTCCATATTACATACTGTATTGGGATTGTCGATGAAGCAGACTTATATTTGCTATAGAAATAGGCGAAATTACTTTTTTCGAAAGTGAGAAAGTTTTCGAGGCTTACGAAAAAGGGAACGTTGATTACTATAGCAAATATAAGTTTCCTTCGTCGAAAATTCCAACACAGAATGTGATATAGACAGTGCCTGACATTACTTAAAATTCACACGTGTCGAGCTTAAACACTGCACTGTCATTGTCCGACTCCCGCATAGGGAACGACCTATGCGAGGTCGAAACTGCAGTCTACCCTGGATAGAATATCTTTTGGGAAAGCTGGGCTATTTGAAATTCATTGGAAACGTCAGCTCTACTCATATCAATTACTATTCCTTCATCACCTTAAACGAAATCGAGTGAATACAACTAATATATATGAATTAATTGTAGTCTTGAAAACCTAATGACATACTGTGTATGCGAATACCTTCTATAAACCTAGGCTATGTTAAATTAATTAAAATCATGTGACCTATTGAATTCACTGTAGTAAAATTCAGTTACCTGTTCGTCATAAACTTAAACGAATTAGGGTGGATACATCTTTTATGTCAGTTGCATTATATTTTTTCTTAATCGCTGAGTGTGTGCGCTTATCCTCACCAAAAGTCCCGTTTGCCAAGACAAGCTATTACTTGACATTGTGACCACTCGACTTGGACTTTTTAATCAATAGATTCTGTTAAACTGGGTGAAAGGCTCGATGTTAGGCTCTATCCCTGTGTAAGTAAAGACAATCACCGATGCTTAGTATTTAAAGACCCATATTTTTTGGTGGAAGTCGATGTCACTGTCCCGGCCAGCGAGATATCTAATTGCAATGATCAGCGGGCGGGATCTATTCTCCTAATGAGACAGCCGACGGTTCCCTCTGAGGGCTATTTGATTTTACGGAAGCACGCTTGAATACTCCGACAGCAATATTATAATTCCGGTTGTTTATTATCATAGCATGTTCCAATCACGCCTGGTTCCGTAGATTCATTTTGAGCATTTATTCAGATAGAATCTGCTACTTAATTAGGACTATGGAAGATCATTTGTCTGGATGACCCAGTTTACCACTTGAATATGGAATAAGGCAGTGCCTGGCTATCAAGCCAGATGTATTCCCCGAAAAGTTCATTTCCACTGCTGTCACCTTAGACTATTCCGAGGCAGTCCGTTTGCTGCAATCGGTCCAAGCTCTTGATTCAGCACTTATGATTGTGGAGATTGCGATTAAGCGGCCCAAATGTAAGTATTGTTCGTTAGAGCAATTGAAACTAAATACTCTCCCAGGATCAATGAGTGCATTAAAGTCACACATTACTCTGTCTATAAGCTCTTGCAAGACCGGACCACATTCCATGAATCCAGAGTATGTAAGGATGTTAGTCATACCCACGTCTGTAGGTTTGACGAGTCCGAAAATATACCCACACCAGGTCGTTACGGGAAAAGATGATCGAGTTTTATGTATTACGAAGAGTAGCTAACTGAGTTTCAACAAATCATCTGAGATAATACTATTGGGGAGACATTCATTTCATATGAAAGTATTCGAAGTTCAATATCGCCAGAAGACGACGAGATTACCATTGTATTGCAGCCGTTTGGCTTAAATATGATGTTTAGGTTGATGAAGTTCACCAGACATCATTCCTTTTTTCAGTTGAAAATGGGCTGAGCCTATGGCCACTTTATCAACCTGAACGTGGTATTAAAGCCAAACAGCTCCATACAACGCAAATCAGCCGGCGCTCTCTGGTGGAATTGATCTATGAATATCTTTATTATGCAATTTTATACAAAATGCTGGCCTTGATAGCATATAGGCCTTATCGTCCAGCCTGGACTGTTGCTTCAACCTGGCCTGGATACCACTGCCAACCTTAGCGGGATTCTATATGAAACGTGCCAGCTAAGTGGCAATATGTTACCCACATACTCATAGGAAAAAGGTAATGTTGATTACTATAGAAAATATAAGTTTCCTTCGTCGACAATCCCAACACAGAATTTGATATAGACAATGCCTGGCATTCCTTGAAATTCACAAGTGTCGAGCTTAAACGCTGCAGCTTCCAGGCGGTCACAGGGCAGATTAAATGCTCATGCAAGGCAGACCCTCTCTTTTCACCATAAGATTGTCGATGAGGATAACTTGTATTTGCCATTATATCTGACAACGTTACTTATTTTAAATGCAAGTAGTGCTTAAATATCAGTAAATATCCTTCAGTTGGCAAGGCGATCTAATGAATTTACCTCAAAATATTTTCGAATTTTCCATATTCTTGCCTCCAAAAATTTTCACCTTGAGGATGGATCGCTGCTTTGATCCAAGAGGGATGTAAAGTGGATTTTGCGCATAAGTTAGCAACACATTACAAGGGCCAGTGACATGATATTAAATGGAGATATTAAAATAATGGAAAATCAAGCTATTCAAGTCAAATTTTATAGTGATGATATCATTAAAGTAAGCCTTTATTTGTAGTAAACTCATTGAAATTGCTATCTAAAAAGATGGTATATTTTTTAAAAATCGATAAAATTTATATAAGAGGTTTCATTATCTAGAATTTTACAATCAGTGTTTACCTCTATATAAGGGCAACTCGATCTCTTGTACAAAGTCTGCTGATAGCATGGAAGAATACTATTTTGTGGCATCCATAAGGTGAAATATAACGCTGAAAATGA